AGCTGGGAGTGATGCACGGTGCTGGGATTGAGTTTAGTTCAAACATAATGCCTTCTTTCCATTTTTAATTCACTCACTTTGAGGCTACCAGTAGTTAAAATGAGGCAGTACATGCCAGAACCCCAATGTAAGAAATAATTCTGTGATTTTTAAGTTTTGATGAAGCCACCAAACAGGGTTAAGAGAGGGTGTATCTGAACTGATAAGCATCTTTAGTTCTTATTCTGCACCTCTTGGTTTTGTGTTTTTCTCAATGTGTGCTTTATATATGTTTATGTATATATATGTAATGCAAATAGATCTATATGTGAATTATATGTACATACTTATATAAAATGTAATCAGGAGCCTTACTCTTCTTTTTCTGTGATTTTGAAGGGTATTTTCCCCTTTGTATCTGTCACAACAGTTACAGAGCACTGGCCTAACACAATAAATTTCTTCTGAAACCTTTTCCAAACTCTTGTTTATGGCTGGAAAAGAAATGACTGCTGCAGCTCGCTGTGTTTGCCATGAACAATTTTTGAAGTGACAGTGATGAATTTTACATAACTCTTTGCTTTATTGTGATGTAAGCAGGTGTTTTGTCACCCAGCATCATACCAGCTCTGCCCTGAGCATTGCATTGCATATTCCCTGGAGGTATCCTGGGGCAGATTGTGCTATAAAGCAGTCAGTATGTACAAACAGTAGCAACTTTTCTAAATGTAAATAGAGTGGGCAAGACCATTTGTAGCGTGGGGTGTGTTTGTGTGTGTTTGCCAAATGGTATCTACTCCAGCTGAGCACAGAGAGCTGTGGAAAGCTCATGAGATCGTTTTGGAGCCTTTGGGGAGGAGGAAGAAGGGACTCTTGTATCAGCTTCAGTCTATTCTGCAATCCCACAGCCATTTCATCCACAGATTCAAATGCTTTTTTCCAGTTCAGCTGTTCTCCTACAGCCTGGATTAATTGTTTTACCACTGCACGTATTTAATGTTGCTCTCATGTGCTGTGTTTTGGATTGTTTAGCCCCCTCCTGCTGCAGTGGCTCTAATTTTGACTCTCGTGCACAATGACCACGACAACGATGTTATGCAACGCTTTTAACCCATATATATAAAACCTCTGACAAAAGCAATTAAATTTAATTGCTGCCATCTTTCTTGATGGAAAGTGCAAAAAAAAAAAAAAAAAAAAAATTAAGGGCACTCTCATCTGACAGCAAATTATCTGCAGACAGAGATGGTCTACAACTTTGCCAAAATGCTTTTGATTTTCTGTACTTTGCTGCCAATGTTTAATGCCATCTCAGCTGTTCATTGACACACGGGAACTGCATTTTGCTTGTTCAGCTCATTGAAGTGTGGGAGGTAAATAAAAAAACCCACACCATGGGTTTTTACCATGACTCCTGCTTCAGTATGAATCTTTTGACCCATGTTTCCCATGAGATGAAGAACCTTGGCCACTTGGGTTCCATGAGATGCTCTTCAGCACTGGAAGCTGAAAATAGGATATGTAGGATGGGATAATAGGATTCCACGCATTGGTTTTTTATCCTAATCAGAGCCAGAATCTCTGATCTAGAAATAATATCACTGCCATAGACTTCTATACACTTTTCTCTATGAATTTGTCCAGTGGAAACTTCTAGCATTCATAAAATGTCTGGAGGCAGAAAAATCTGCAGTTGGTTCATGCAGTAGGTGAAGAAATGTCTCCCTTTGTTCTGGCCTGCTAGTTTCCTTCCATCAGGTTTACCAGCCAATGCATTTTAATGTTAGACTGATTTCAATGGCAAAGATTAATTCAAAGCACAAAACTTTTCTTCCAAAGAATTCGGGTGTTGCTATCCAGGTGCTTAGCACCGTTTCATTCTTTCCAGAGGCAAATTTAGACTGAGATGCATGCTTTCAATTGGAGATGCATTTACTAAAGCTTAGAAGAGCTGTGGTCCAAGAATTCATTGCACTCAGTGCTCTGCAATTCTAATTATATGGTAATTTCTATCATTTGTGTATGAAATTCTGTGAAATGAGAGAAAATAGAACTAATTAGAGAAATGTTACCTTCTGTAGATAGAGCCTTCTGTAGATAGAGTTTCGAGGATAAGATTGTTTTAAATGTATAACATTGCTTTTTTCAGTTTTTGCATCTTAACTCAGTCACGGGATACTTTCCCTATGTTTTGTAGGTTTATTTCAACAGAAATAGCATCAACTTTTTTTTCCCCTTGGCTCAGATCGCTGGCTTCATGCGCTGTGTAGGTGTTTTTCAAACACACAAACCGTGCTTGGAAGCAACTGTGTTCTGAGATAGGATATTATGTCCTGCCCTTCACATCAAGGTGTAATCATGCATGACAAGCTGCCATTCTACACATTTCCAGACATTTTATTATCGCAGATCATTTTAAGAAACTTCCTGGGAAGGTAAAACATCTCCTCACTTAACTGCCTTTTCAGCCAGAAGCGCAACAGAGTGGCTTGGGATGCAGACTGAAAGGGTCAGCCATTAGGAAGGCTCTCAAATCACCTTTGTCTTTACACACATCCTGACAGCTTATGTGGGTGCTAACTCTGGGCACCACTGCTCTCATCTGTTTGCAGCTATGTGTGAGAAAGGACTTTGCTCCAGGGCAGGTGGTGGTTCATGCTGTGCCAGAGCTGACAGCAGAGCACCTCAGCTTCCCCATGAGTATAAACACTTATGGCTGCTTTTATTCCTCTAAATTCTTTGGGTATAGTGCCATTGCCCAGTCTGCGGCAACAACAGAAGTAGTTTCAGTGGGAATCAGCTCTGGGAAGTGTTCAGCTAGCTGAAAGGAAGGAACAGAGGCTATTCATCATCCAGCAGCGATGGAAAAGTGGTTGCTGTAGAAACCTTTTCCAGATCTGGTAACTGTCAGGAATCAGAAGGTGCCTGCTGCCGTGGCAGAGCTCCCACACACAGGGCAGCCTGCAGCCTGCTGGGGACACCTGAGGTGTTCTGGCTGCCTGCCTGGAGGGGAGACCCAGCCATCCCATTGGCATCCCTCTGGGCAGAGAGTGCTGCACAGCCACAGTCGCCCCAAATGTGTTTCCCAGTACTGCTCCATCCATCACAGCACATTCCCCAGTGTTTTTCTTCAACTCAGATGCAAAAGCAGCAAGGGGACTGAATGGATTTTAGATCGGGCGGGCAGCAAAAGGTGTGCAAGAGCACCTGTACCACCTGCAGGGGATGAGGCTTGCTCTCCCCTGGAGCATTCATTGAAGTGTGCAGCAGTGCAAGCCTCCTGCTGCTGACAGGGAGCAGAACTGGAATTCAAAGGACATCATTGATAAAACAGCAAATCAGACGTGTATTTACCTAAAGTTCTGAAAATTGCAGATTAATGGCAATGATGTCCTAAGCTCATTGCAACAGAGAACAGGAGGCTTGGAGTGCGATCATAGCTTCGTGAAGTCACAATTTAACCAAGCTCAATGGGTGTTTAGAGCAGAGGTGCTTTTTGAAGTGGAGAGGCTCCAGCTGCACAGCACTTAGTTTCCTTTGGTAAGGATCTCTTAAATGCTTGTTGCTTTCATATCCATCCAGTGTCAGTTTCCTATCCATCCAACGTTAGTCCCTCTAACAGTCGTGGTGCAGAATTGCTGGAAGAGCAAGCATATCTCCCCAGGCCTGAGCTCTTCTGCTGTGGGTTTTGTGAGTTACTCAGAAGTTCTGTGGATTTCCCAGTGCTAAATGAGCTCTTGTGTTTGAGCTGTTCTGCTCTGCTCCCTGAGAAGTGTTCATCGGCTCCATCAGGACAATTCTTAATCATTTCCTCTGCTTCCATTCATCTTATGTTTTTGCATGTAAGGTAATATGGGTCTTTCTTTGTCTGAGTCATTTGTTTCAAAATATGCTTTCTGAGCCTGATATTTCCCTCTTTCCATTTGGGCTTGATAACATGAAGTAGCAACTTTCTTACTGTAACAGTGGTTCTGTAGTGTGACGTCGCTGGTCCTTGGGGTAGACTTCAAGATTGCTTTAGATATCTGTGTTCTGAATGAAGATACAAGAATATCTCATTATGCAACTATTATGAAATCTCTCATGTTTCCAGCTGCTGTAGATACTGTTGATTTATTTTGCTATGTGTGCTAGAAGCCCAGTGCTTGGCAAGGACGCACCACTGATCTCACGCAATCCATTCTGGGCATTAGCGCACAGGAGTATCATCCAAAAATCAATTTTCTCTGAGCTTTAATTGAAATTCCGGTGCCTCCTGAGGATCTCTCTGGGTCACTTTTATTCTCAAGCCGTGCTTCAGCCCTGAGTAAACTAATTCACAAACGCAGGCTCCCAAATCAGCTGTGTGCCAGCTGCTGTCGGACGTGGCTGTCAGTGCTCTCTATTGGTCTGCTTGTTCCTCCAAACAGTACCACTCAGTTCTACCCCCAAAGCAATTTTTTAGCTTTAGCCACTCAATCCCAGCTGCTACGTGAGGTGGCAAGTATTGCTCTGTTTTTAAGGGAAACCAGCTGGGGAGAATGTTTAAGAGAAGTAGCAAACGTTGGCTGGTGGTTGGACTGTCAGTAGGAGAGCTGTTGGCTACCTGTCTCCTGGGAAGACAGAAATTAAGGAGTAGAATCGATCTGATTAAAGCTCGTATCACCCAGCACTATGTAATCCATTGAAAAACTGTGATTAACCAATGATAATTAAATGGAGTACTGGTAGAACATGTGGGGAAAAGTGCAAAAGGGGACGGCAATGGGAATGGTCACCTGGAGGCGTTGCCCAATTAATGTCTCTTCATGTTTAACTACTGCCACAATGAGTCTTGGAAAACAGCTGTGTGGAACTGGCTGTGGGTTTGTGGAGCTGGCAGGATACCCCCTGAGGGGTTTCCTTGTCTGCTCCTTGTGCACATACCTCTTTCTGGTTCTGTGGAGTGAAAATACCCAAAAGCTCTCGGAAATGATGGCCTAGCTTCCCAAATTATTTCCTTTTCTTTTTTTCCTTTCATTTCTTTTCTCTCTATGTTTCAGATTATGCTTGGCCTTTGCCTAAACAGTTGTGCCCTATATGGATTTCCCTAGATGTGCTCTTTTCAACTGCATCTATAATGCATCTCTGTGCCATCTCTCTTGATCGGTATGTAGCAATACGCAATCCCATTGAGCACAGCCGCTTCAATTCCCGCACCAAGGCTATTATGAAAATTGCTGCAGTTTGGACCATATCCATAGGTAAGCAATGCGGCTCACGATCTTAACTGTGTCTTAATGAATAACAGTCTTCCTCCGATTTTCCTTTAGGATTTTTAAGGGGGTACTAAATTAATTTACCTGGCCTGCATGACTGAATATAACAGATGATGACTATGAAATAGAAATCTTTCGTTGTGGTTGGTGGGTGCCAAAAGTAAGTGGTCGTTTTCCAGAATCCCACCACTTCCCATGCAGAAGCATTGCTGCTGTGTGCATATCAATATGCCAATAACAAGGGTAACGCAGACGAATGGAACTGTAACACTGCAGTGTAAACAAAGCAGAAAATAGCATTAGCAAAGAATCTGAACATAAAACCCGGCCAACACAAATGAGGTCTGCGCTGCTGTTGCCGCAGTTAAACTTCTTGCAGTTTAAGTAAGGCAGTGTGGACCTGAAGGCAGCTAACTGCCAGGTATTTATTGCCTCTGGTGCAGGCTTTATAGCCTGTATTACATTCCACTGCATCCAGATTGTTGCTGGGGCTGAGCTAGAGAGTTGGAAGTCGTAGTGAATGAGGAGCAGGCATAAAAGATGACAATTTTGTGTTACCTTGATAAGAAACAAAAAGAAGTGGTAAATAAAGCAGCAGTAAAATAGACAAGAAAAGGAAAAATGATAGCAAGATGATGGTAGTATTTTTTATTATGCGAAGAAAAACATTTGGAGTAGAATTATTTTCATGCGGTCTAGAAAAGAGACATTTGGGGCAAGGTGAGAAAGGATGGATGACCTCTTCCTTCTGTTGCATTGCCTTTTTTTTTTTTTTTTTTTTTGCTTGAATAAAAAGCAGTCTGACAAGTATTTAATGTTTACCTTTCCTTTTGTAAAGCAGTTGTCAGTTCCTTAGTGGTATTTCGAGGAAAACAATGCTTCAGGTGCTTGAACTTTTCCTGGTTTTTGCTTTCCAGTTGTAGTGTGATCCTTGATGTCTGGGTGCTGCAGGGTCTGCTTCTGAAGAAGCTTGTCAAGGAAAATGCTGATGGAAACAAGGAAAAAAAGAGAGGAAATACACCTTCTCTCTTCATGAGTGTAACAGGAACATGTTAGGAACATGTTTTCATGTGGTACAGGCCTGCTGTATGTGTAATGTAACCCGCAGCAAAATTGCATTGGATTTAATAAATTCATTCTGGGATAGGAAAGAAAGGTGTTGAATTCAGTGCATGAGCGTTTGCATGTAGACAGCCTCCCCTGCAGGACCCTCAGGCAAAGCCAGCTCTGAGCCCATGCAGCATTTTGCACTGGAGCTCCAAGAGAGAAGCCAGCAGGGCCCTTCATCTGTCAGCAGCATCAAGCAACACATTGCAGAAGCCCATGGATGGGACCATTCTGCTCCCACTGCTGGAGCAAACTTGCACATTTTTGCCTGCATGCTGCAGATGTATCCTTGGATAAGCTTGCTGCTGAACGTGGGCACCTGCACAAGGCACTTTGAGGGCTGAGCTGTGGTTTGGATGGTGGGTCCAAATGAAATCAGATGAAGAATACTTTGTGTGTAGTTCACTGAGTAAGCAGACTGGCACACAGCTCTGGGGCCTGAGCAAATAGATGGAAAGCAGGTGTAGGGCTGCTTCTTCCTGGAGTTACTGAGGGTGGGGATGGCTCAGGATGATGGAAATCAGGAACACTGCAGGCTCTACTGTTCTCTGAGGGCAAAAGTACTGAACTGGGAAAGGTAAGGTGATTTTGTTCTGTTGAGGAGTTGAATTGCTTCACTGCTGCCTAGATGTCTTGTGTGATGTTGACCACTCTGCATTCACAATAGGATGTGAAAAGAGCTTGGAAAGGAGCTGGAAGGGCACTTTTCTTTTGCAGATGCATGGCTTCTGAGCCATCAGTGAGACACTGGGTGCTGATTTAATTCCCAGCATCCAAAGGCTTTTAGGAAGAAGCTGTGAGCGATCTCTCAGCAGATGTCTGCATTGTCTGGATTCTGGTGATGTTTTGCTTATCCCTTTTGCTGTAGATACAGCTGATCCATGGAAGTCTTTCCTTGCATGCCTTTTTGTGAAGATGGAGTCAGAATCAATAATTCCGTTCAGGCACTGAAATGCTGCTGGTTTTCTGCACTCCCCAATTCATGTGATAGCATTTATCTATCTACTCAGACTTTCTCAATGAGATTGTATTAGCAGGGAAAGAAAAGCACTCTTGGTACGTCTCTAGCTTATTTAGCATAACTATTTTAACTTCATAAACCAATGCAGACAAAGGAATCAATTGAACATGAAATGAAAGAGAAGAACCTGCCTAAGGTTTGTTACCCACCAGTTTCACCCCACCTGTCACTTGTTAAGACCTGATGAAAACACACCATTCTCAGGAGGATGAAATGGGTTGAGCAAATTCACCCCCCTTTAGTGTCAGTATCACAAAATAATCTGTGCATCACAGCATGAAATCAAGTAACACTTCCTAAATAGAACAAAGTTCGGACCAGTCAGTTTGTATTTCCCAAATTCTGCTTCAGTTGGACCAAAGAAGCTTTTAAATATATCCCAAGTAAAGAATCCTGAATTCCGTTCCCCGATCAGAATGTAAAATCAGCAGGCAAAAGCATGGCATCTCTCTGAATAGAGGAGTTCTGCATTCCATTTTCCTGAAATATTAATGCTGGCAGCAAAATATATGATAGAGGTTCTTTGATCACTGAGCTATGAATTTGGCAGGTTGCACAAGCCGAAACTCATGGCTGGGTTTTGAAGCAGAGGAACACGAGAGGTCCTCCGTCTGTTGGCAATTGCTTTGCAAATGGATCTGTTCCAATGTCCTCTTTGTTCTGCATCTAAAGTGCGTCACAGTCAGCTGCCCTGTGTCTGAGCAAACAGAACCAAAGCCACATTCTGTGTCTGGGTGGAGAAAAGTGGGTGTTGTGGAGTGCTGGGCTGAGTGCCCTGTGAACAGGGCTTTTGTGACAGTGCTCTGCAGAAGCTGCAAATAGAAATGTGGGCAACGGAAATGGCCACACAATTGAAAGTGAAAATAAACTATGGCGATGAGCTTGCTGGCAGAGTTGGGATGTTTCCTGGCTTCGGGCTTTGCACTGTTGCAGGTGGAAAGCTTTACACTAAAACGTGTACCTGACTCTCTTATCCTGCCCTGAGAAAGGTGACCTTGGGCCATTTTTCCTGTTAGATTAAAGGGAGAGAGGAGATCTCCATGCAACATTCAGAAGGGGCAGTGAGGCAGCCAGACTTTACATGCACACCTCATGATAGAGGGAAAAGCATGAAAGTACCATCAAAGATGCAGGCTGTGCAGTCTCCTTCATACAGTGTCCTTACGGGCCTTTCAGCTCTTGGCTGAGCCTCTCCCTGTCTCACTTGATGGAACATTTTTAGAGTGGCATTGCTGGTATTAAAAGGAGTTGTATTTTTCTTACAGGCTAAAGACAGATATTGCATGGAAATGATGGCTGAGGCTGCTAGGAGCTGCCATTCAGCTGTTCTTGAGGATGAGATCGCGCACCCATGTGTTTGTTTGCAGACTTCAGGCCCAGATAGCAAACAAAGCTCTGGACAGATATCATGGAAAAATTGGCCAAAACACCATTAATGGGGGAGTCAACCAATGGAGAGTCTAATGCACTCCTAGGATTTTGCTGAGACCTTTCTTACTAAGCAGGATTGTTCTATTTGTGGTCTATTCCTTGGTCATCACCTTGCTTTATGGCTTAGAATGCAGCACTAAGGCTTCTTCTGCCTTCGTTTCCCATCTGTTTAAATTGTCTACAAGGTTGTTTTCTTTGAAGCCATTCTTCTGCCTGAGCTGCTGTAGCTTGATTCCCAAGGGAGCATCAATCTCTCTGGCACATCAGCAGAAGTTATTGGGGTGATGAAGACCATAGCAGTTGAAAAGCTGAGTTTGGAACAAGGGAGCTGCCTTGGCATTTCTTTATGGACGCTGATCTTAGTTTGATTTTGACATCAAACGCCAGTGGAATATTTTACCATAGAGAGCAGCAGGTGGTGACAGTCTGTGTTTTGTGCAGAAGATGGATTGACCATCCTAGCAGATGCACTCCTGGGCGAAAGGGAGATACTGCTGTGTCCTACTTGAGGTTGCTACTCCTGGGCATGAGGTCAGGAATTGCTGTGTGATTTTAGCGAAGCAAGAGAACTAACTTAGCAAAATAGAGGGGCAGGTGGGAAAGTCATTTATTTCTTTCATCTTCTACTGGCATTTACTAGTTTTCCTTCTGGGCTTGGGTTGTTCAGCGCTCTTACAAGGTTTAAGTAAAGGTCAGCAGCTTGCTCAGGCACAGGCAGTAATTGCGTTCCTCTGTTTGCAGTTGTGCTCTTTGCAGGCAGGGAGATCCTTCAAAGTTCTGCCCTCTTTTATCTTTGCCTTTAAACCAACACAGGGCTGGCACCGTTGTTCTGTTAGAACACTTTGATAAAACCAGGCCTAATCCATCCCTGAAGGTGCGTTGTTGCTGCATTAGCACATGAAATGCACTGCAATTAGTCTGCTGACATATGGGGAGTATGGAATTTGTATGTTTTTGAATGCTTCAAAAGATGACATCCTTCAATTTGCCGCTGAAGAGCTCGCTTCCTGAAAACCAGTGCCTTTTCTTTCTTAATGCAAGTCAAGAGGCTGCTGTCTGCTGGGGTTTGTGCTGCTCACTGTCTGGTAGTTATTATTAGAGAAGCATGCAGGCATTTTGCAAGACACTTCAGTTAAGAAACCAAACAGAATTATTTTAGTGTTCTTTTTTTCTGAAAGTCTTTGGAGAGTCAGTTCTTTAATACTAATGCAGGGTTACTGCAGCTGCTAACATTCAGGTCAACCTACTAATAAGTATGAGGGCAAAGAAATGGACTTAAACAGGCAGCATTTATCATGGACAGCAGTGTTCTTGCCTTTGCAGCATAGGCAGCTGTTGTGACAGCCATAGGCTGTATGCCTGGCACACATCTCTTTCTCTCTGTTTCACCTGCAGTCCAGACCTGGGGCCCTCAGTACAAGAAAGATGCAGAGCTCTCAGAATGAGTCCAGAGGAGGGCCACTAAGATGATCAGAGAGCTGGAGCACCTCTCCTGTGAAAGAGGGAACAGGGCTTGTTTAGCTTGGAGAAGAGAAGGCTCTGGGCAGACCTCATTGTGGCCTTCCAGTACTTGAAGGGAACGTATAAAAAGGAGAGGGAATGGCTGCTTACAAGGGTGGATGGTGATGGGACAAGGGGGAATGGTTTTAAACTGAGACAGGGAGGCTTAGGTTAGATCTTAGGAGGAAGTTTTTCACAGAGGATGATGAGGCACTGGAACAGGTTGCCCAAAGGAGGCTGTGGATGCCCCATCTCTGCAGGCATTCAAGGCCAGGCTGGATGTGGGTCTGGGCAGCCTGGGCTGCTGGTTGGTGACCCTGCACACAGCAGGGGGTTGGAACTGGATGAGCATTGTGCTCCTTTTCAATCTGGACGATTCTATGATATTCTATGATATCTTTTCATCGTGTACAAATGCCAAGAGGGTGATGGTGAGGGCCAAAGCCCACCTGCGTTAGCAGAGCCCTCACCATCATTCATAGCAGGCTTTGGATCCAGTTCTGACACAGGAAGGGCTCCCAGCACCCCCAGGTATGAGCAGAAAAACATTTCTCCACTTGTGTTCAACGCTGAGAATCCCACGTGTGGAAAGGCAAAGTAAACAGCAGGCTCATGTTTCCTTTACTGAGATTGTTGTCCCTGAAGGAAATCGAATCTCTTCTCATACAAGAATGTTGTGAAACAGAATGAGAATTATTTCCTTTCTTAGCGGAAAAAAACCATGAAAAACTCTACCTTTCCAGTAATCTCCATCAGTCTCATAGGCTTTCATGAAAGAAAACAAGTTATTGAACACAAACACAGTATTGTTTTTCATTTACTCCTACATTTCGTGACTGTCAGTTATACATTCAGATTTTTTACCTGGCTTTTTCTGGAACACGTTGAGGAAATGTTTTACAAAGCCATATTGGTAATCATTTGGGTTTTGTTTTATTAATTGTGAATCTGTGGAGAGCATCTGTTACTCTGTGTCTGCAGCATTGTCTTGGCCCTGTTTGATGAGCTGCTCTGCTGGCTTGAGAACAGCTCTGATGATGACAAGAAGCAGCAATGGTAGAACAGCTGTAAGGATGGTGATGAGTGTGCCAGCTTGGTGCAAGGATGAGGTCTGGGGGACGTTCTGCAGCAGGGCTCAGAGCTGAGCAGTGGTTGGCTCAGCCCCTGTGCTGGTGGAGTGAGGTTGGCTGCCCTCTGAGCAGATGATCTCTGTTCTTAAACTGCGAACGGTGGCAACTACAGCATTAGTACTGTGGGTGATTCAGGTCAAGAGGAGTATAATGCCTTCTCTGTGCTCGTTCCAACAGCTGAATTGAAACAAGGCAGGGACTCCTGCTTACCTTCATTCAGATGCTTACTGGTATACGCAGCACACGGTGATCGGGGTAAGCTATTAAAACCAAGGTCAGGCTGTGAGCTGTGGCTGCAAGGAGAGATTTGTGCATTTGGGATTGTGGCAGCTGTGATGTTGTAGGAGCCCTCCCACAGAAGGAAACCTCTCTGGGGTATCTGAGACCTTCACAGCCCTTCGCTTCTCTCTGCTGGGGGTGTAGAGTTGCTCCCATTGCCCAACAGACTCGGTTCCCCCTGGGGATAGATTGTGGAGTGAATCAGTGATAAGGCTCGTATTAAAGAGTTCAATTTATGAAGCTATGATTAAAACATGTACCTGCTGTAACAAAATGAGCTGCAAAGGAGAAGTGTGAGGCATTTGAGATGAGATGAATGCTGCCTGTTCATCAGTAGTGCTGTAGGATAGCCGGCAGCTGAATGAATACAAGTTGGCAAGCTCCTTGGAGGGCATCTTTCCTCCTCCTGCTGTTTAATAATGGGATTTGCCTGGATAGGAGGAAGGAGCAAGCAAAGACCTGGTGATCACTCTTTTCTGTGCTTTCTCTATTTTAAATCCCTCTTTGTTATGAAGGAGGTGGCAGGCATTTTCCCATTACCACTGCTACCTCCTTGTTCCCTGTGGTCAGTGCTGGGGAATCTCATGCTCACACAGAGATTTAGAATGCCATCAGCACTCCTGACTTGTATATATACTCATCATACCCCAGAACTAGATCATTCTTCCTGAACGTACTTTGTGTGTGGCCATGAGGTGAAACCTCATCTCATTTCCTTTGATGAAAGCAATAACACTAAATTCCATGATGAATACCTCATGAATAAGCCTGTATTCCTTTCTGTGGTTTGTTTCAAGGGATATGTGTTTTACAAGACTCTAAAGTATAAAGCTACCCATGTAAATACAATCCCAGCATAATGTCATTGATTTAAATCAGATTTTTTCTTTGTGCAAAGGCTGTTTGGTCCACCTCCCACCGTTTTTGGGATGTCTGGTATTTGATGGAGCCAAAGCATCAGAAAGAGGCATTTAACAATAAAGAGTCAGTGTCCTGATTGGCTGAAGGTTATTTCAGTTACAGACTTGGTACAGGCAAGTTAAAAGATATGTTAGAGAGGAAGCAAGTACCTTGCTAAGGGTAAGCTGATAAGCATTAGTGGGATTATCACTTGGGTTAAGGAGCGCATGCTGTAATCACAGGAGGCGTTTATATTCATTACTTTTCGAGAAGAAATTCCTTCACTGACTTACTGGCAAATGGTAATTATATGGTAATGACAGATTGCAGATGTATTCTTCAGAATCTTGGAAAACACTTAGCTGGAATGGGAAAAATGCCCTGGTTAATATCTTTAGCATGTTACTCTCTCTCTCTTTAGAAATTCAGACTCTCAGAGGAATAGCTCTAAGACATGTGCTGCTCACAGCTATCCAAAAAAAGCCATCCAGACACAGCAGTGACCTCAACATCAGTTATTGTTGGGGAGAAGGAAGAGCATGGCCAGCCCTACAGATATGTGTAGAAGGAGAGCCTGTGGCCAGGCAGGAGCTGTGGGAGAAGCAATGGGGGAACAAAAGCTATTCTGCTGCTCCTTTCTGCTCATTCTGAGCCATGATGATCTAGCTAGATCTGGCCCACCATGTCTCTTCTGACATGTATATAGGTAAAGAGATTCCAAAACATTTTGTTGTTGCTTCTGGCTATGTGTAGACAGATTTCTTTGGAAGGCTTCAAGTCTCTTCTGGTGTGGGACTGTGATCCCATGTGCCAAAGAGTTCAGCAGCATGGACACAGCTGTCTGCAGAGACCCTCTGGGCAGAACTCCTGCTGCTGCTCCAGGTCTGCCTGATGTCCTGAAATCCAGGACAAACCAGCTGCGCCTTTGGTAGGAATTTGAAGTAGGGTTGCTTGTGGTACTTATCAGTTTCGTGCTGTTTGTGGATGAATGCCTGGGCAGGCAGGGCATGCAGGGATCACTCTCTGCTTGCGCTGCAATAAGGACCCAGAAAGCTGGGAGCTTTTCTTTCAGATGTCCATGTTGCTGTGGTAAAAGTAGCCATTTTTCTATCAGGATTATTTTAATGTCTTAACCAAACGTGTTTCCAATTCTTCATTCTTTTGCCTTTTGATCATTTTCTTTTGTAATATTCACTAATATCTACTCTGTGCCCGTGATTTCAAAAGGCCCCAGAGCAGCGTCCGGCTGTGACACAGCAATGGGATGACTGTCATTTCTACACCAACGAAGACTAGAAAAAGTGCTTGACAGAGCAGTTGTGTTGGTTTTGCTGTGTTGCTGTGGAGCACAGCGAAGTTGTAATTGCTCCCAGTGAAGGGTGCTCACGCCCTGGAGCTGCACTCTGTGGAGTGTTGTTACACGACATTTTACCTTCCACGTGGAAGTAATAACTTCTCTTTCAGGCAGTCTTAGGCAGTGGGCTAAATGCATGCAGGATGTGCACCTTCTGTGCTCCCTCTTTGGAGCCCTGTCTGTCCTGTTAACCATCTCTTTTTCATTCTTGTTCTTCTAGGGATATCTATGCCCATTCCAGTCATTGGTTTGCAGGATGACTCCAGAGTGTTCATCAATGGGACCTGCGTCCTCAATGATGAGAACTTTGTCCTCATCGGGTCTTTCATGGCGTTCTTCATCCCTCTCATCATCATGGTGATCACATATTGCCTGACCGTCCAGGTGCTGCAGAGACAGGCCACAGTGTTCATGTGTGGAGAGGTGCCCAAGCAGAGGAGAAGCAGCGTGAACTGCCTCAAGAAAGAAAACAACACAGAGCACATTTCGATGCTTCACAACCACGAAGGGGCATCGCATTTGAACTCTCCTGTGAGTAAGGAGGCAGTGCTTTTTCGGAAAGGAACTATGCAGTCCATCAACAATGAGCGAAGAGCCTCCAAGGTCCTGGGCATCGTTTTCTTTTTGTTTCTCATCATGTGGTGCCCATTCTTCATCACCAACGTCATGTCCGTCCTTTGCAAGGAAGCCTGCGATAAAGACCTCTTGAGCGAGCTCCTCGACGTGTTTGTTTGGGTGGGGTATGTTTGCTCAGGGGTTAATCCCCTCGTATACACACTCTTCAATAAAACCTACCGCAGGGCTTTCTCCAGTTATATCCGCTGCCAATACAAGACCAGCAAAAAATCAGCACTGCGACAGAATCAGTGCCTGAATGTTGCTTCGACAGCTTTATACGGGAAAGATCTGACTTTAACTAGTTATCGAAATGGCAATGAGCTCAACAGCATGGAACTAGATGAAGCTGAGGAGGGCCTTGAAATGCAACCGGGGACCTCAGAGCTCTCCATAAACAGCTGTAATGTTGTGAGCGAAAGAGTGAGCTGTGTGTAAAGGTGGCTCACACACCTTCGACTACGGGCCATCTGTGGCCAAAACACATTGTATAAAAATGTAAGCGTTGGTCAATGGACGATGTAAATACTGCATTCTGAACAAAGATTTTTTTTAAGGAGAAAAAAAAAAAAAAAAGAGATTTGTCTTTCCAGTCCAGTACTTAAAATCATATATATTAATATTCTGCAGTGAAGTTTAAGGTTCTATATTTACTGTTAATACTAGATCAGATCTAGTTACTTTGCATATGTCATGGACAAAATGTTTGAATTCTTCTTCCAGTGCATGAACAAAAATGCTGAATATTTATCTCAGGTGGCATTTGCTGGAGTCCAGAATGGCACGTTAATAGTTATATATCAAATACATGCTATTAGACTTGGTCAGTATAACTTTCTTTTTCAAGTTGACAGTAAATATATACTTTAAATCCTCACCCCTATTTGTGCCGTGTAAAGAGTGTACAGAAACCTGGCAGAGACAGCACGAGAGCTGTAGGCAGCTGGCCAGGTGTGTCGTGGTAAGAGTCGTGGCTCGCTTGCATCCTGGGGCAGCATTTCACTTCTAGGGACCATCCTGCTGCTTCCTCTCCATTCACCAGTTTGATCCTAGGTTGGGAATGTGTTTCTGGTGTGGTGTTGGGATCACTTGCAAACTTGGAGAGGAAACATGGGAAAGAGAGCCAACTTGTTATCTGCTTTAACCATTTTAAAAATGGAGAGTGTCAGATTTGTAAAATGCCCTCTCTTGTTCTTGTAGACTCCCATGTACTCCAGGATGGGGGAAGCAGTACTCAGAATGGCTGGCATTGCCTTCAAAGGACTGTTTGGATGATCAGGTCATTGGTTGACCTGGAGAGGAGAGCTCTGGCTTTGTGAGAGCTCACCTTCTCCATCCCCTCACTTCTTTAGTCGTTAGCTTGTTTTGCGTTCGCATTTATTTTTCCAGAGACAGGGATGTGCAGTGCTGGGGGTAAAACAATGCATTGGATGTAGAGCAAAATGTGCCATGCTGTCGGCACAGGTCGGGAGGAGGCTGCAGGATGAGGGATGCTCTTCCCCAGGGGATGCTCAGGAGAGAGGCATAAATGAGGATCCCTTTTTTCCCCAGACTTGGGACGGGTGTGCAGAGCTGGACAGGGTGTGTGGCTGGAACAGTTTGCTATAGTTTAATAACAAACTATGATCAGAGACAGAAAGGAAGCAGACAAGGAATTACAACTTGGAACACGTCTGTATGGAAGATTAATCAGGATTATCTGTTCAGTTTGATTTACTCAATTTCACTCCCAAAGTAAATGATCCTATATCATGTTAAAGCCACTTATATCTTAATGAAAACATCCACATCATGTTTTAATGCAATTGAAGTAATCTGCTTTTAATTCACACCATAAGCAATTGGAATTAATTCCTCTCTGTGCTCCTGTGTAGACAAACCCTGAAAGGCACCAACACGTCCTTCTGGCACAGTGCCTGTGGGCGATGCCACTTGTACAGTTTGCCTTGTGCAGGGTGCTGTGCAATGCCAGATCTAACCTGTAATGTTTTTACATCTTCATTAACTAACACACAAATGCTGCAGTCATCCATCTAACGTGGATGTATTTAGCACTGCTAACAGCCTCTGCCCATGAAATTCCTCAGAACAAGAAGCGTACATGAGGCAGGGATAAGTTGCATTTTACTGATGTGAACTGCTTGCACTCTAAGCTTGCTGTGCTCATCCCTCCAGAACCCAAGTGAAGGAGAAACACAACATTCTGAAAGCACACTGGTGCAGTGTAGCGCTGTTGCTTTGCTGTGCGCAGCAATACCTGGCTGAGGCAGGTTGCATCTGCTGCTGGTTTGTGTCTAGCTTGATTCAGTGAAGCTGATGGCTCTCTCTTATCCTCCATTCCGTCCTGTGCAAAATCCGTAGTACTTCCATGCAGGCAGGCGAGGTATCTGAGCAAGGTGCATGGTGTGTGTGTGCTGGTCTGCTGATGATGGTGCTGGTTGAATGCTTGAGAATGCACCCTGCCTGTCCAGAAAGGCCTGTAACCCACAGGAAAAGCACTGTCCAGAGACACAGACTTGTGCCTTCAATGACTGCCCTTTGTTCTGTGTCAGATGTGGATATCTCAAGTGGTACAGAAAAATCGCAAAGATCGCATTGCTTTCAAAATTCTACTTTTATTTTTTTCCTTGGGTGAATTCATAGCTCATCTTTTACAGCCATGTATTTGTCTGTGTGTATATATGTGCGTGTACATATATATATGCATGTATGGATAGAAGTCAACCAGACATGGAAAGCATTTAGCAATAAGTTGTATTTCAGTAGCTTCTAGCACTCGTGTGAGTAGCTCATTGGCCACAGCATCCTCCAACTTGTACCACACAAAGGTGTTCTCTTTGCATAGGAGCCTTCACGTCTTACCTCTGCCAGTTCTGTTGTATGGGCAAAAAGGGCACCCGCTCTGTTGGATGTAAATAACAAGACCTGAACTGAGAATTTACAGAGTTTTTATAAATGTTTTTAAAATAATTCAGCACTGGGACTGTAAATATGTCGAGCGTTGCTACACAGCTGGACCCGTTCTGATGGATGTTCTTCTCCAGATAACCAGACAAGGGGACTGCCTTATAGCCTGTGTTATCTCCCTGCCAGGGGCTGATAACATTTTTGGGAATGATTAAACACTGTCTCTTACCCAACTTCCATTGGGTCATTCACATCAGGGTTTTGTGATGCTGCTATTAATTTATTAAAGAAAGATTGTTGGTTTAATCACTCTTTTTTTTTTTTCTTTTTTTTTTTTTTTTTCATGGTCTATTGGAAAATAAATAAATGGACATGCCCTCTTTTTCTTTCCTATTTCACCAATTAAAACGTATCCTGATCAAAAATATATCTGACCAAAGTTAAAATAACAGCGAGAAATGGAGATAACGATCTTTGTTTCTCCTCCCCCTCTCAGATCATAGCCTGTGGTTGTTTCAGCCATAGCAATTAGTGCAGATAACCCAACGTTTCTACCATGCTAAACAAAATGATGCTGAAAAGCAGCTGTCTTCCCCCGCTTCTCCTTCCTTCCTCCAGGAACATCTTTTGAAAATGATGTTTTAAAAATTGCTTCAGTTTGAAGAGTTAACCACCATCACCTCGCTCTCATAGCAGCTTTGCTATGCTGAATTGTAGCCATTACCCACAATAGTGCCTCAGGATTACCCTCTGTGGGCCCTGGGTCAGTGCTCACATCTCAGCTCAGGTACAGTGATGTCTTCTGTTTGTTCTGCCTTTTGTGTTCTTTGAAGAAGAAAAGCAAACCACAAGTAGCTCTGCATAAGTATTATTTAGCTTTTAATGAGGAGTGTTTGGTGTTCTGGCAGGCAAATGATGGTAACTCGGTGTTCCAAATGTGGCATCCATCATGTGAGAAAGATGCAGATGTCTCTTGGGCAGGTTTCCTCCCTGTGTCACGGTATGCTGACATGAGAATTGCACCTGGCTTTGTCTCCATTTCTCTCCAGGCAAAGAAAATTGTCAGAAATTCTTCGTGAGAAGGAGCTCCTAGAGGCCACCGAGACTTTGGACGTTGTAATGGAAGTGTATTGGTGAAGTTGGGGGTACAGGTGGATGGCTGCAGACACTCAAGGCCAGGCTGGATGGGCTCTGAGCACTGATGGAGCTGTGGGTGTCCCTGCTCAGTGCAGGCAGTTAGACCAGATGGCCTTTCAGGGTCCCTTCCAACTCCAACGATTCACTGATTCTAAGTTGCTGTAACAAAATATGCTTTCATTTCTTTGTGCATGTGAAGTTGCTATTGACTGTTTTGTCTCTCCCTCATTTTTCTTCGAGTCCCAGGCCTCCTGCTTTTGGCTTTTACCCACGCTCTGAGCTCATGCTCTGGAGCTGTCAGGAGCTGACAAATACCTATGAGGTGTGTCATTCCCTCTTGGCTGTGCAGGGATGCTGCAACCCCAGAACAACACAGAGATGGAACGTCCTCAGGTGAGAGATTTTAAGTCTATCTGAGACAGACAGTCAATGCAGCAAGGCATGTTTGCCCATTAAACAAGCACACCAGCAGATCTTTAAGCAACAGTTACCCAAAAAGTTAAAGGCAGATTAGCATGTGAACGCAATTTTGCCAGCAGGTTGCTGGGGCAATGCCTGCAGTTTTACCACACCAGCATCACTTTAGTAGTGGGGGGACTGGAGAAATGAATCAAGCAGCATCCAGCAGGGATGTGTTACACCCAGCATTCTGAGCTTTCCTGTGCTCCAATTGTAATTACCTCAACAACAAGTCAGATAAATTAATATTTAATTAAAATACAGCCAAAATATCAAATTTTAATAGGATGTAATTGTGGCATTTTGAGTTATTTCAATTGCTGAAGCATTAAAAGCAATCTGCAGGCTGGTGCCTGTTAGACCACTGCCTGGTTGCAATTGCTGAAAGTGAAGGCAATTTTACCTTTGTGTGCACCACTGCTGTGAGTGTCTCCTCCTGCAGAAACGAGCAGCAGAATGGGATGGTGCTGTGCTGGGTGTAAACCAGAGCCACTGAAGATTTGAATCAAGCTCCTGTTTGCTGACTGGAGGCTGGAGCAGCCCCTTGGTGACTTTTCGGAGAGGAAGATTTGGGATGTGTCATTCAACTTGCCACAAAGCAGGTAATGCAGCAAACCATGGTCAACAAATGGTACTTCTCCATAGTCAGTTCTGTGCTCCTTCAGAGTAAATGAGTATGATTTCCTGTTGTAGCGCAGTCAGTTGGCACTTCTGCTTGAAAAAGTTTGGACTGGAATTAGAATAGTGCTGCAGTGGCACAGGGCTGCCCAGGGAGCGGTGGGGTCACCATCCATGGAGGTGCTCCAGAGCTGTGGGGATGTGGCACTGAAGGACGTGGTGATGGGCACAGTGGGGTGGGGTTGGACCTGGGGGTCTTAAAGGTCTTTCCTAACCCGAATGATTCTATGATTCTGTGACTATGTAAAGCCTGAGCGTCCATCCTAGGGACAAGCATGGGGAGGGGACACAGGATGGGCACTGGGTAGAAGTGGCATTTCTACCAGTATGAGAGTACAGATCTTGGCTTGTTCCTCCTGGCAACCAAAGATGGGGGAAGAAAGCTCTACAGGAGGACATCAGGGAGTGCTTATTCTGACTAAGAAAGGAGAGGAGTTACTTGGGCTGAAGAACATTGGCATATAAAAAGGGCCAGAAATAAACTAGGAATTAGAAGCGGGCTTCTAGCAACTGCAACATTCTGGGTCAGGAACAGCAACTAAGAAGCCTACAGAGGGCTCAGCCCTTGCCTTCTGACAGGAAATTTATGCTGCAGGGGTGCAGTAGGAGGGCACAGCTCAGTGCCTGCTCTCCCCAGCCTGCCAGCTGGCACTGCTCAGCTCCAAACCAGCCATCTGCACCTCTCACCTCCTCGGTGATGCATCCCAAAGCATGGGAGGAACAAACATCTCAAAGCAAGAACGCTTTTTTTATACCATGGCCCTTCCAAGTCCTGGAGGAGAGGCCGTGCCAAGGCAGTGCATTCTCCCCAGGGAGAGCATCATGAAATCAGGGGGTGGTGGAGGCAGTGTGTTCCCAGCCCTGAGCCCCGCTCCAAGTGTATGAAGCAATATTTCTTTTGCACATGCAGAAGCATCCAGAAATAACCAGTTTGGTTAGCTCAAGCCTGACTGCTCTCAGCGGCATAAGTAGGCTTTATTTATCCACAGGAGCATTTTTCAGGATGCTGAGTTTTATTCGACCCAATCTTGGTCTTCTCTGGGGTGCTGCAGTGTTGAGGTAATGTCCCATTGGGTTGCCTTTGGCTAGTTTTGCTCAAGATGTGCTATTGAGCAGCTTGAGGGTTGGGACTCAGACAGTGCAAGCTCTGTGTCTGACTTTTTCCAATGCTTTCCTCTGTTGCTGCATTTCCAGCTGCGCATCCAGGAGCTCCATGCTTTTGATCCAGCAAAATAGTGAGGTTGGCCTTTTAAGCTCTCTGTTGTTAAAAGAGGACTCAGCTGAACCTTGCAGGTTCAGAAAAGTGATGGTTTTCTCAGCGTGACGTTTCTAAACAAATTGGCAGCATGGACAAAAATTTCTGGGTGGCTCCCAGCCAAATTGATTGGAGAGTCTCAAGGGATGGGACATATTTCCAAATCAGCAGTTCAGAGCAGGAACAGCATCAGATAAAAGCATGGAGAGTCCTCTCCTGGGCTTTATGTGGGAGATGGGGACCTCTCAGTGGCACAGAGCTCTCTCCAGCCCAGCTAACAGCAGACAGACCTTGCAAAGGATGTTCAGGTGCAGCATCTTCAGTTTGCATTATATGTGTTTCAGTGCAAAGTTTCTTTCCAGCTGTGGGCACATAAACAGCTCTGCAGTTCACTGAGCCATTCCTGGGTGCTGAGGGACTGCTGTGTTTTCAGATAGCCTTGAAAGTCTGATCTTTTCCCAAGAACATCATGTGTCTGGTGTTTGTGTTTTCTCTGCCACTGTGTTAGTTCCAGTGAAGAACACTCTGCTATCCTTTGTGTTTTGAAAGATATCTACATAAGTTAATTCTGTTACAGAACGAAGTTCTTCCCAGCATTGAAAAAAGAAAACAAAGCAAAAGATATTTATTCTTTTTTTTTTTTTTTTTTTTCCCCCTTAGTGAAAATGAATCATGCAGGTCACTGATGGCTTTAGAGAAGTGTTTTGGAGCCTTCATTCAAACAGAGCCATTGGAAAGGGGAACACGGAGACTGTGTTAAGGATTCCAGCTGTCAGCCGCTCAGTGCAGGGGAGTTGGATTAGATGGCCTTTAAGGATCCCTTCCAACTCAAATGATTCAGCCATGAGAAGCACACATCCTCCTGTGAAAATTTGGCTCTTACAGAGACACAGAGAGCTTGGCAATGCTCTCAGATGTCCCTCAAACTGTACAGAGAGCTGCAAACCAACCACAGCCCATGGAATTCTTTACATTTACTGATGATTCTTGGACATTATAGAATTACAGAATTGCCTGGGTTGCAAAGGAGCACAATGCTCATCTGGTTCCAACCCCCTGCTATGTGCAGGGTCGCCAACCAGCAGCCCAGGCTGCCCAGAGCCACATCCAGCCTGGCCTTGAATGCCTGCAGGGATGGGGCATCCACAGCCTCCTTGGGCAACCTGTTCCAGTGCATCACCACCCTCTGTGTGAAAAACTTGATGGGTCTCTTCCAACTGGGGATATTCCATATGTTACAGCATTTCTCTACTTAACAGCACAGAGAGCAAAATGCATCGTTTTCACAGTGAGAGCCACTGTTACCTCGATTTTCATGCAATAGGTGCTGAAATCTGGTGGAAGTGAAGCTGTTCCTCTCCTCTGCTATGAAGCAGGGATGCTGACACCCAGTGGCCATGGAGATGGTAGCGGCTGTATGAGCTGGGCAGGCTCTGCAGCAGTACCTCAGGGTGGTGGGATGCAACTTCTGCCTTTTCATGTCCTCTGTGGACATGAAGGAATGAGTAGCTCCTTACAGCCTTATTGGCAGGTTATAGTATTTGCATTTTGTATTCAGAAAAATGAAAACATACAAAGCTGGAAAATGAGCAAACAGAAGGTAGATTGGTTTTCAAATTCACAGAATCATAGAATGGCTTGGGTTGGAAGGGACCTCGAGAATCATCAAGCTCCAGTCCCCTTGCCGAGGCCAACATATCTAATGCTAGACCAGGCTGCCCACCTGTTACACAAGACCTCACTGAAGTCACACTGGAGAGCCAGGTGCTCAGCTGGGGACGTGGACTATCTGGTGATATCACAAGCACTGTGCTTGGGGCCCTGGCTGCCACCAGTGCGTGCCACAGCTGTGAGAGCTGTGCAGAAGTGTGGACACGCTGAGTCAGCCTCGTCCTGCTTGGCAGTGATAGTGCTGGTGGCTGATGGATGTTGCTCAGACATCGGTCTGGTACGTTAGCTGGAAGGGAGGAGGACTGCAGCTGTTCCTTGGTAAGCCAGAATTGGTTTGTCAAACATGTGAGTCGTACCAGTGCATCCATTGCAGCAGTAAAAGTAGATGATGGAGTCTTTTTCATGTGTGCTTCAAGATATATAACTGTTAATGAGATGAAGGACAATACTCACTGTGAGAAGTCGTGGCAGTTAGACACAAGTTGGATCTAGAGTTGGTACAGTTCTTGCAACAGCTGCTTCCAAGACGCTGCCCTCCTCAAGAGTCTAATTTACATGAAAAGAAAGCTGGGGAAAGGCTTATTCCTCATGATTCTTCCCTCACTGATACTTTCTGTAGGCTTCCTGTCCAAGAGGATATTTTGGGGATCCAAGCAGTCCAAGACTGCAGCCATCTCTTTCTAAGATGGAGGAATTCCTTTGCAGAGGACCCAAACTTACTCTAAGAAGTACTCCATGTATCAGCAAAGAGATGACTGCTACTTCTATTTCTACTCTATCTGTTTTAAGGTATGGTTGGGTTTCTTTGGCCTGGATTTTCTTCCTTTTCCTCACTTTTAAGAGAAAGGGCTGGAGCAGGGGGTGACCTACTGGTGATGTGTTACCATCATAATCAGTGGGATTCTGCGCTCGCTGCTAACAACCTGGGCTAATGGCATGGACACATTTCAGGCTGTACCCTTATTTTCCTTTGTGGTTTCCTTTTTCTTGCAGAGAGACAGCTGTCCCTTCTGCCACTGTGAAGTGGCTCTTGGGAGTGAACAAGTCTGCCAAATGTGGATGGAAGGTTGCTGTTTCAGCAGGGACTGCAAGTTCAGGCACATGAGAATTGATGTGTTTGCCTAAAGATGTGCTCTCCAACTTAGTCCACAAAACCACTTTTCATTGCTATAGGTGAGCTGAATGCAATTCTGCAGGCTAGATACATTTGCTGTGAAAATCTTAGTGGTTTCTGTTTCTAGAGGGGCTGGGAGGAGGTAGGGGAGGAGAATGCCTTAGGTATATCTTAGCCAGAGATGTTTGCATGAGGTGCCAAAGGCATTTTCTCCCCAGATGCAAAAAGACCGCATTGCTCAGACTCCTAAACCTGTGGAGCGGGCTGGTAGGAAAGAGCAGGCGCTGCTCTCCTGCCAGCATGGCTTGGATATGGTCTGTCAGGCCATCTGTGTCCTGGATTTCTTCAGAGCAGTTTGTTCTGGCTGCTTGGAGTAGTGAAGGGTGGGGCAAGAAATGATGGTAAAGAGCTAAGGTTCTGCCCAATAGTTTCTGATGACTTAACCATGGCATTTGAAGGCACTGTTTGTCCCAAATAATGGTAGCATTCTGCAAGTGCATCGGTTTAACCCACTGAACTGAGAGTGCCTGACTCCTCTACCTGAAGAATAAGAAACCAAAATATGCTGAGTGGTTACAGCTTATGTTGTAAATCTGCTCCCAGATGTTTCCTTTGGTGATAAATGACCTGGAGCGCTGCATCTCTTTGCAAACCTCGCGTGCCTGTTTCCATGACCCTTCCTTTCTTTCTCTCTTCAGAAGAAGCACAGTGAGATTCCCTGCTTTTGGGAGAATCGGCCAGGAGGCTGTCAGAAAGCCCACTGCACTTTTCTTCACCTGAAGGAACGCAGTGGGAACGGACTGAAATGGTGAGTTTCTGATGGCATGAAGCATGAAAGACCTAATTTTGAATATTACTTCTGAGTGGGTGCAGGATGTCAAGTAACCGTTCATTGGGGAGTGCAGGGAAGAGTGATGATAAGTGAAGTACTAGTTTGTGTTTTGGCTGTCAGAACAGTGGTGGGCTTTTTCTGGAGAGAGGTAAATGCATTGCAGGACTGTAGAAATGGCACAACATTTGAGCAGTGGAAAGGCAATTGTAAGAAGCAATGCTTGAAAATGCGAAGCTTGTGGTTGACTGTGCTGAAAGCTTCCTCCAGAGAGATGCTCTTCAATTATTTCTTGTTTTCTTTCTGCCAGAAGCTGATGCAAGTGGCCTCCCTGTGAACAGTCTTGCAGCCTTGCAGAAAGTCTGGGGAACCAGACAGAGGTTGAGAAGGCACCAGAGAGAGGTACAGGTACTAAACAGGCACCTGGGTTTGATACACTGTCTTTCTACTTAGATTTCCTGATTGCTCTTTCCTGGGACTGTTCTCCGCAGTTGACATCCCAACTTCCTCCCATGGCCTGGCTGGACAAAAACGCAAGAGATCTGAGGAGAGGAAGGGAAAAGCAAAGAAACTGCCTTGCAAGAAAAGACTTAAAGGTGAGCACAAGGAGCTTGTTGCAGCGTCTCAGAAAAGTAATGGTGTTGCTTAGGATAGTTAGGTGTCAGAGTTTTCCTTGCCCTGGATTATTACTGAGTGCAGCTACTGGGTTTCCTTGTTCCTTTTTATAAGTTGTTGGTAGATAGAGATGACTGTGTGGAAAGCATTGCTGAGAATCCTGGACATGGCAATGTAATTCCACTGGTCAGATGTATTTGATTTAGTGGAAGGGCTGTGGGAATGATAAAAGAACGTGAATCTCTCTTGAGGCACAGCAAGACTGTATCAGCAGCCTCTTCCTTTTACTTTAGGTGGACATGAGGTATCTGTGAGGCCTATGGACTGGAAAACCACCTTCCCCAGGATACAGAGATGGAAGCAAAAGGCAGCAGAGATGCATCTGTCTGTTGCTGAGGACGTGGATGAGCCCCCAGCCAGAAAACCACCTATGGTAAGAACACTGGCAAAAGCAGTAGTGGATATGGAAGGCTTACATTGCCCTTGAAGAAAAGGTAGAAATTTCAAATATTCTACTGGTCTTCTGTTTCCTTTGAAGGCAGCAGACGTCCCATAGGGTATTGGAAGCCCACCCAGCCTGGCCTTGAGAGCCTCTAGGGATGGGGCATCCTCAACTTCTCTGGGAAAAGAAGTTACTTAGGAATTTTTTACCTGTGCTTCATACACACTGTCTTGTTTCTTCCTTGGCGATTCTTGCTTCTGTCCCACCTGAATACACCTTGGTCAGGGTTGAAGTCATGAAACTTTCAAGCAGCTGATGACCACAACTTGTTGTTCATCAGTGCCATTTTTCCATTAGACATAAGTTCTTCTGCATCAGGGGAAAAACGGGGTGTTTGAGATGTGTCATGGCATAATCCAACAAAGGAGGAGGTCATCTGAAATAATTTAAATTGCTTACTCAAATTCTCTGCTGAGTATGTAATGGGGAAAAGTAACTCAATTAGTAAGAAGGTTTTTGCAGAGATGACTTCTTGACATATTTACAGGCAAACTAATGAGGGTGGCTATGTGTTTCTGCTACAAAACCTGGCCCCTGTTTTCTAGTCTCAAACTGCTTAATCTGTACAGATAAATTCCCACTATGAAAAATGTACCAGCTGGTTTCTTGCACACTAAAGGCAGCCTCAGGTTAACTGAATTCCCATCCCTGTGTGAGTGTGAGGTGCAGGAGGGGTTAACTACAGATCTCAGAGCTGGTTTGCTGGAAGCATATCTCCAGTTAGAAATGTCATGTACTGGTTGTTCTCTTCCTTGTTCTCCCAAGTCTGGAACTGCTTCCAGGAAGCCAAGAAGACTCTGAGGCACAGTCTGAGGACTTAAAACTCAACATCCCATTCCTCACGAGAAGCAGGTGAGGCACAGCAGCTGAGCTGCACAGAGCTGAGGGAAGCACTTGTCACTGAAGATGATGACATTGAGATGTTACTGATGGAAATTGCAGGAGAAGAACTGGAAGAAGAAATGGATGTAGACTGAGAAGGATGCAGATGAGCTCCTTCTGGAACTGGGATAATTAGCAGTGTAATACCATAGTCTGATTTATGATGTATATTTTAAAACAAACAATGACAAAAAACAATTATAACCAACCCTTAATTTTCTCTTGTTGGTTTTTAGATACAGACCTCAGTGAGAGGAGAGCAATGTTGCATGCCCAGTTACTGCTGTGACCTCCATAGCCACCTTCCCTGCTTTGTTTCCCAAAAGCTGTTGCTAGAATATGACAGATGCAAATGGATCCTGCATTTCCCTGCAGCACATGCAGGGTTGTGCTTTCACATGTTTGACAACTATTGACATCCACTGGGGAAAATATTCTGTAGGTTGCTTTTCATTCCCTGACAAACGGCTCTAAGACTTTATCAGTCGAAGACAGAAAGGAGTCCCTAAACTGGAGGTCATTTAAAGGAGCTCTCAGTGTGTGTTACCAAAGACATGCTTGGCCAAGCACAGGGGAACCCAGACACAGGAGCGAACAGGAGGAGCACAGTGTGTCAGGGGATGGATTTTGAAACGGACTTGCTATAAATGTTAATTATGGACCTTATCAAAGGAAGGACCGGGAAGGACCAAGCCCAGTGTCTGCAATCAAAAGGCTCCTGTCGAGCAACAGCATACAAGTACTATAAGAGAATGCACCCTTTGTTACTAGGCAGGTTTCTAGGCAGGCTTCCATCTAACTTTCATATTTTCTAGTGACAGAAATAGCTCTGATCTTTTGGGGTTGAGTTTTAGTCGGGGAATACGGCATCCATTCCTCCTCCAATCTCTGCCTGTGTTTGTTCTCATTTGTTTCTCTCCTGTTCTAGCTGAGCTTTCATTCTGCAGAAGGCTCCTTGCTCTGCTGAGGTCTCTGCTGTGCCTGCTGCCACTAGCCACAGTAATAGAGCAGAGCAAACTGCATCAGCACACAGGATAGGATGCAGTAGCAGGATGAAGTTCCAGGGGAGCATAAGCTGCAAGCCCACGTGTGGATGGCCAAATGCTTGTGCATTGGCATTCCCATGGGATAAAGCAGGTGAAGTTCCATCTGCACCAGCCTCTTTTCTTGCCTCTCCTTCACACAGATGGCTTTCACAATGGATCAGTGTTGAAACAGTTTAAGGGCCTGGCAAGATGTCAGAGACCGACTGTGAGGTATTCCTATTAACAAGGAAACCTCAATGGGATTCTTTCCAGCAGTTTTCTTCAGTGCTTTTAGTCGTTACAAAAGGAATAACTGTTGCTCTGAGGGCAGTTTGGAAAAAACAGAGTCTGGATAGCATCTATCTGGATGTGCCCAAGTCTTGTGGCTCCTGCAATTACCATGCAGACCTCAGAATGAGTGGGACTGAGCATCTCTGCTCATCTTGGGCTCAGAGGTGGAAATCCAGGTGTGCTCCTGCTCTGCTATGATGTCCCATGGATACCCCAAGTTTGACCTCAGGAGCAAGCTAAGCAAAACGTCTGGGCTATGTGATGCAGGGCTGTTTCTCTTGTCCTGTCAAATCCTGCCTGGAGACCAGATGTGGAAGGAAGGGGACTCTGCACAGGGCAATATGCAAAGAGCTGCTCCCTTCCATCACCCAGAGGTAGTGAAGGGTAGAGTTGCATCTTGCCTAAATACCAGCAGTTGAGAAGCTTCCTTTCTCTCCCAATCTGTCCATAGACCAGTTGGTTCTTTTTCTAGTGTCTTCCTTCCTTGATACATCCCCCAGATAACACTGGGTTGGTACCCACATAGCATTGGAAGCAGCTGATAAGGATTGAATAATTTTGCACTTGGATGTGTAAGGCAGCACTCACTGTGTTGTGGCTGGTTGGATTCACTCATCTTTTTATAGGGCTGATTGCTGCAAACTTGATTTTCCCTCTGAGCTTCCTCTGTTCACAAGAAATTCCCATCTTGAATAAACACTCCTGCAAGAGGTTGGGGTTTCTGGGTTGTTCAGATGAAATGAAACATAACTAAACATAGGGGTTTGAGCTCGTTCCCTTTTCTGATAAAAGGAAATAAAAATAAATAAAAAATAGAAGCAGGCTTGGAGAGCAGCATCTTGGTTGGGGTTCTACCCAGCTGTAGTGCACGTCTTGGATTTACATTTTAATCATTCTCATGGGGGGCATCCTTAAATGTCAATCAGCAACTTTACCAGATGAGTGCACAGTGCTGAGAGCCATCCAGGGTGCTCCATTGAATAGCAGGAGCCGTGCCCACTTCTTGGAGGAGTTCCCTTGCTGCCTGTGCAAAAATAACCTTCTACTTCTCCTCGTAACCACATCCCTTCCAGTGGTTGGGAGTGCTGTAGCAAAAGTTTCTCCCACGCTCTCTCACCACTTCAGCTTTGCAGCAGCTGAGGCATAACAGTTAATGAAACGATTGAAATTAGCTCAGGCACAGCAGTGAAGGGAGTGGTGAGGAGATGCATGCAGGCCCTGGTACCCAGCGTTTGGGTACCAAGCTTCAGTCTATGCCCTGCTATACAGCTTCATGGAATCCTTAAAATAAATTACTAAACAAATAACGTGTTGCTCTGCGGATTCTATTTATCTTTATTCATCACAATTTCCACGCCTCCTTTTTCTCCTTTGCCTTGTTATTAGAAACAGTTTGCTCCAGTCAGTTTACAGCTCCTCCCCTGTTTTCCTGGGCCTGTTGAGGATTGCATTGTGACTGCCAGGCTCACACAGCACAGGGGAGACCCACGCTGGCCTAGAAATTCCAGGCTTCTTGGCTGTCCTTGGGATGATGTGAGAGCAGCCCATCAAACACAGCAGCCATGGGTGCACTTAGCATCCCACCAACGTGTGCAATGGTTTTCCTGCTGGGGATCTGCAATGGGAACAGAAGGTCACTGCCAGTACCAAGGAAGACGATGGCATCCCCGTCACACATTGCCTCATCACAGTGCCAATGCAGGAAGCATTTGTTTGCCACAGGTTTATCACTAGCATCTACACTTTGGGGCAAAATAATGGCATTATTTCTTCTGCTTTACTCGTGTAACAAGTAACTGCTGCATTTAATAGCAGTCTGGCTACTTATGGCATGTTGGGAGGCAGAAATGGTCACACTTGTAAAGCTGTTTCCTCAATATAAAATGTCTTGTTTGGTATCTGATTATAGCTCATCTTGTTGATACATGCTTGTCTCTTAGTATCTTGTATACTGTTTTATTTATACCCATAGGCTGAGACCTAAGAGCACATTGCATGGACAGGCTGCTCTAGCACTTACCTTTTCTTGCATTGGCCAATCAATGTAAATATGAAGAGGCTACATGACAACCCCAGGATGACTGGAATGAGGATAAATAGCTGCTTGACTTCTTTTCTGCTTACTGCAAAGAGAAATAATAACAAATAAGAAGTTCCTGTCTTGCAGAACAGGTTGCATTGCTTTTTAAAACCTTGGGCCCCATGCATTCAATCTTCTTGCTTCTTAACCTAAGTGTATTAATTTTTTCACTACAGACAAAAACTGATGGCAGTTGGTTCCCTACCAGAGAAGCACTCCTGTGTCCATTCGCTCCAGAAGCCCTCATCAGCACAGAAACTGTTTGTTCTCCCTCTGACACGGACACAAGAAACACGGCTCTGATTTGCTCTGGAGATGGTGAAAGCAGTTTCCACTTGGGTTGACATGGACTGAAAAAGAAAATGGAGAGCAGTGAGGAGTTCTGAGCAGCCAGAGGTAACTCTCTGGCATGGCCTGATGCTGCTGAACAAGCTTTGCAAATCCTTGGATTACATTTTGGCAGTTTGGAATGGTTTCTTAATAGCTTTGGACCATCCAGTACCAGTAATTATTATGGAGCTGAGCCTCCTGAAAGCACAGACACTCATGGGGCCCCTCTGTGTATGGTCACTGTTTGTGTCTGATCATTTGTGAAGCTAGCTATGGAGATTCATGTGTAGAATGTGACACTTAAAGAACGTTTCCTCCAACCATCCCCTACAACTGAATGATTCTTGCTGTTAAAACCATCGCTGAATAACACAGAAGGAAAAAGCCCTATGCATCAACATATGCTGTGTGCCAGGTCGCTTCTCTGGAGCACTGAGCCTTCCCCCTTTCACTGGATCATGTTGTGCTACCAGATTCAAGGAAACAAACCAAACCAAACCAAACCACGTAGAGTCCATATATACACACAGACAGGCCCCCACCTCCCCATCCCACAGCAGGCTGCTTGCAGCCCTGTGTGCTCCCTACCGCCCAGGCAGCCTTGGCCTCCCTCTGTTCCTCTGCCAGCTGCACCTCGTACTCCAGGCACTGGGGGGGTGTTTGGCCACCAGGTGGGCTCCACGCCACGCGGAGCTCTTCAGCTGCAGACATGGAGACCACCAGCTGCTGGGGGGGTGAGGGCTTGGCTGGGGGAGGAAAGAGAAGAAGTCAGGAGGTGCCACCGACCAGGTCCTGATGAGAATGGCTTTGGGTTATCACCACCAGGCTTTGTCCCATGCTCCCACTGACGGGGTTTGATGGGGTTTTGGACTGCCATGATGCTGCAGGAGCAAAAGCTCCACTTGGAGGCTGGGTTGCTTGTTTTTATCTGGATGTGCAGACAGGGCTGATGGCCAAATGATGTGTTTGGCACGCTGTTCTCACAGGGCAGCCTGAACCCCTGCAATGCATCATTGTGTTGTCCTGACACTGCATTCTTTATGCCATGTGCCCAAAGGCACATAGGACAACATGACATCCCTAATTGAATCCAGAAATCCTGCTAATTAACCCAAAAGGGTAACCCATTTATCCCCTGGCAGTTACATGTGGGTAAATGCTGCTCCAAGCACCTAGTGGAGCTGTGGCTGTTCCTGTTCAGTGCAGGAGTTGGACCAGATGGCCATTAAGGGTTCACATGATTCAGTGGAATGCATCAGCACAGGAAGTGCCCATAGCAAAGAGCTAGCATGTGCATCAGACTGTGTCTTTAGCTGCACTTTGCTTTGTTTCCCCATTTGTAGTAGGGTGTGGGGGGCTTGAAACCCACCTTTGCTTTTTGTTCCCATGGCTCTGGCAGACCACTGCACCTTTCACTTGACTCTCCCCTGCCCCTGGCTTGCTTTCAGCAGCAATGCCTGCAGAGCTCTCCTGTGCTTGCAGGAGCAGAGCAGTGGCTTCAATTCCAGCAGGAGGAAATCAAGCCACGTCTACAATTGTGCTGCTGGGTCCAAAAAACCCATAGCTGCTCTGCTCTCTGCCCAGCAGCCCACTGATGTGAAGTCACCCAATGCCAAGCAAGGCACTCAGCAGTACCTAGTGACCTGAGCACTGAGCAGCATCACCTCCTGAAAACACTATTGGAGAATCAAGTCCAGCAATGCACGTCCCCTTCTCCATTTGCAAGAGCACACATTAGTTTGAGCCTCTCATGCAAGCCATGGGCCTTCAGTGGCCATGCAGGTCCCCCAAGCCCTGCTGCCCTCCCACCTGCCTTACCCAGGTTGTGAAGGCGCAGGGTGGCATACAGAGGCCTCAGTGAGGTGGCTGCCACAGACCCATTGACACAGATGCTCAGGTCTTTGTATTCTGCCTGGCTCAGGTTTTGCAGCATGCAGCCCATGTTTATACCATGATCCTGGATATAGTTGTCACACTGCACTGCGTGCTCCAGGCCCTCATACCTAACAGGAAAACATTAAAAAAAGGCAATCAAAGCAATAGAAATTAGTTTGGGGTAAAGCCTTTTTCTAATTATTTTTTTTTAAAAGGACAATCAGATAGGAGCGAATGGACTTAAACCATGAGCATCCCTTTTGTCCTGCCTGCCCCACCCATCAAAGCACAGCGTTGTGCATCTTTCCTGCTATGGGAAAAGTGTGGGGAGGAGGGGAAAAAACAGCTGATTGTAATGGAAACCCGAGGGATCAGTAGTGATTGTGTAAAAGCAACCCAAACCACCTCCTGGCTCTGGAGGTTACAGTCCCCATGCTGGTAATGCCACGTGGGGCTTCCCATTGCCTTAAGTGACTCTTGTTGGGTTGTTGCCATTGAGGCAGAGCTGGGTCTGGCCTCTGTACTCTGCTCCTAATGAAAGTCTCTCTGCAAAGCACGTCATTACGTGGGGAAAGAAATCATATGGTAGCACTGTGAAAGTTAACTCCCAGGGATCAAAGGACGAGGCTGTGTTTCCACCCATCCTTCTTATAAAACAGGACTAAGATCCAAATGCTGCTTTGGTTACAGGCAGTTAAATAACAGCAGGTTTGTTGGTGTCTTTTTTTGTGGAATTGGGGTTGGTTTGTTTTCAGCAACAAATAATGAAATTTTCCATGGTTTTCTCCAAGTAGTTTGTAAATTTGGTGTTTTTGCTTTGAAGAATATTTCCAAGAGCCACACAGAAACTATTTTTAAATAGCTGCAGCTAAGCTTTTCTCCACAAACAGCCTGAAGTCACAAAACCCAATGGCCCATCATTCTCACTATAACATCACAGGAAATGAAGCACAGGTTATATTGGCCAAAACGCATAATTCTGGCTTTGTTTTTCTTGCAGAAAAAGAAAAATGTTAAAAAAACAATAGAATTAACTGAGAAACATGCATTATTACTACCCCCATGGCACTTTCCACGGCATGTAAGTATGCTTGAGCGATTCCAAGAGTGGTTCACTCAATTGCTGGCTGGATATCATCCTATTTCACTGATACATACCAATAGTAGAGTCCATAATTTACACCACGAGGAGCAAGGAGACCTGGTTGCCATGTGCACTTGAGGTATTCCCAGTCATGATAGATGCAATGAAAATTCTGAACCTTAGATTCCAGTTTCCCTGCCAAATGAGAAGACAATGACTATGTAGCCAAGTGTCAGCCAGAAATATCATTGTACAGCTTTGAACAGTAGTGTGCCTCAGTCAAGACAAAAAAAGTGTGGTCAAAAAGTAGGAAGGCTGCTCCTAACCTTGCAGTGGGACCCGAAAGGTGGCGTAAACCCATTCACTCTGAACTTCCACGTCGTTGGTACACCATCCTTTGAGCAGGGTCTGGACCTTCACTTCAGCAGTCCTGCTGAGGTCAAATCCAACTCTGAGTTTTAGTTTCTTAGTAAAAATAACCTGGTTGAAAGACAGATTTGATAAGCACCTCTTGTTGCTGAGCTGAAGAGTTAGCCAGCATTGCACCATGGCTGCTGGTAGGCTCACCTGGGTGCTTTCATCTTCCTTTTCATTTCTATCCTGCTTCTGCTGCCCAATGCTATTCCAGCACTTGTACAGCCCAGTGCTTCTGCTTGGGCTGCCCATCCTCACTGGCTGTGAATCCTCCCTTCCACCCCAGAAAAAGGAAACCCAGACTGAGGATGAGGGTTGGGAGAAGGCTCCATCTCCCTTCTTTTATTTAGGACAAAAGTAAGCTGGGGGAAGTTGCAGCAAATGAAGAGGGAGAAAGGGTTGCACAGACCCAGCCAGGACAGAAATGATGGGCTGCACAGTCAACGTGTTTGCTGCAAGAGGAACTGCAGCCCACAGTCAGGCTATGGTCAGCAGTCCCAGAGTGTCAGAGCCCTGCTGAGCCACGTCCTTCTGCCAGACATTGCTGATGATGGGTTATTCCTCGATGGCCCCATGGGTTGTTTTTTAAAGTCAATGTTTCTTTGTGATCTTATCCAGCATTTTTGCAAGGTACAAGCCGTGCTGTTTCCTCCCTTTTGGCTCTGCCTTGCAGACACTTTGATTATGACCTGGGGAATTCTGACGTGTTCGGTTTTTTGTTTTGTTTCGGTTTTTTTTTCCCCCTTATTAAAGAGCAGTTACAAACACAAGGCAGGAATCTGCACATATCCTTTTGATATCTCTCAGTGCTCCCCAGTACCTTGCACCAACCACACAGAGGGTTTCTCCTCTTCCCTCCAACCCCTCTGGCAGCTTTCCTCTCCTAAAAGCTCCCACAGCATTCTGGCAACCCTACATCTATACATCTGCAAGCTAAGGCTGACTATCTTATCACAGAGCTGAGCTGGAATCAAACTTATCTACAACACAGAAGGAAACACTGATTAAGAACACTCTTCTGAATGTAGCGAATGTTTAACCATGAGGATAATTAATAGGACTTAATCTTGTATTTATTTACCACGCTACATCCCTAAGGATGTGACACTGCCTGAGTTCAAGACCATATAAACAAAGACCTTCTAAAACGCGCAGCGCCTTTACGACAAGGGATGACACTGGATATTGGTGGATTATTTTCGGCAGCAAGCAGCACACTTCTGACAGAAACAGCCCTTTTCCAACTCTGACTGCTGCTGCTGAGGAATTGCAGAGCACGCTCCTCTTTGGGAAACACTTCCAAGAAGTGATCCTGTGGAATGGCACTTAGATGTGCTGCTTTACCAGTCCTGCTGGTGCTTTAAATGCAGGTATAAACGTGTGCAGGAAATAAAGGAGCAACAGGGATCTAAGAGGATAAAGCTGTGCGTTCTCTCACCTTCCATTCTCTGTCGCCGGTGTTACGGTATTCACACTTGTATTTCACTGTGCATTCATTGGAGGTCTGTACGTTGGGTGGAGGTTTCCACTCTATATCAAGAGAACCTAAGAGCCCAGGATCGGTGATGTGAAGGTCTAGGGGGGGAGCAACTGCATTGGGGAACAAAGCAGGGAGTAAAAGGGGTGTTGATTCAAAATAGCAACAACCTCAAAAACAAGCAAACAAAAAAACCAATAAACGTGATGAAATTAAACATGCTGTGGGTGTGAAGGGGAGCACAGCTGGTTCAGATCCAGTCCTGTGTGTGTCACCACCTGCCCTCAACCATACACACACAAGCTCTCTTCCTGCCCACTCAGAGGGCATCAAAGAGGCATAAGAATGCCACAGTATCTTTGTCAATCCCTTTAGAGGTGTTCTAAATAATACCACAGTGCCACCATGACCTTTCAAGTCTTCTATTTCCTTGGGGTTACTAAGACACGCTGCCTCTAAGCTCTGCCTGAAGAAGGTCGTTCACGCAATGAAGGCCATCGAGCTCATTCTGTTTTATCAGTTCAAAGTCAACGTATGTAACAGGTGGTTTTCTCTCTGCATATGCTGTCTGGAGGTGGTATTACCCATTTGGGTGCCTCCCTGTTCATGGCATGGTGTGTTTTCTTCACGGTGCTTTGGAGTCCACCTTTGGCCGGGTCAGTCCAGCATTGCCTCCATACGTGCCCTCTTTAGAAAGTTGGCAGAGAACATCATTGATTACTTCTGAGGAAGCCCTCCCAGTGATGACCACTGCAGTCTTCAGCTCCCACACTTCCCAGCACGTGAAGCTTCGATCTGAGAGACCAGCTGTTGTTAGGTGTCAATGTCAGATACCACCTTAACATACATAGGGAGGTGCTGGGGTAAGGAACAATAGATTCTAATGATTTGGAGGAAAACAATGAGCTTTGATGCATTTTTATATAACAAGTACAATGTTTTGCCTCCCAGCAGCTCTGAGCCCAGCACAGAGGGTTCAGAGGGCGGCAGTGGGACTGTGGCAGCTCCAGGACCAATGGGACAGGGCCCTTGTAGTGAGCAGGGCTGGGAGCCTTCTCCTGCATGGACAGAGGTTGTTCTCACTGCTGTGCAAACAGAGCAACTTGCCTTTGTTTGGGAATCCAGACATAACTTCCAAGAGAGCCCTGGATTTGTTCGAAGTGGAATTTCTGTCTCTCCAGAAACAATAACATTCTGAAATTTGGTTCCATCCCTGATCTTTTTCTGCCCAGCCACACCTTTTTGAAACAATAGCAAGTAATTTTTCCAAAAGAAATTTTGACAATAATTTAAAGTTCAGACAGAATGAAAAAGCTTTGTTTTGGGATGTTGCTTTCTGGATGTTGCATTCCAGAGCTCAAGTCCTTTTTAAACATCAGCGCTGCCTCTTGTGGAGTTTCTCATTATTACATTCTTAGATGATCTTGTCTAGATGATCTTAGCAATCTTTTCCAACCTGAATGATTCAATATGACTCTATTCCAGAAGGCACAAGTCTCACTCACTCATTCTCCATGCAGGACATAGGACTGTGTCATCCAGCTTTGAAATGAAAGCTGCTCCTCAGTGTTTCCTGCAGAACTCCTTTCTTCTAGACACAATTTGCACTGAATTTGCTGAATCACATCCTGATGTGCTGGACAACTCTGCAGCCACTCCATCCTGCAGCCACCCCATCAAACAGCCATCTCATTGCACAGCCATCCCATCATACAGCCATCCCATCCCACAGCCATTCTGCCCCGTAGCCACCCCTGTCCTACAGGTAACCCAGTGCACCACCACCCCACTGCATAACCATCCCATTCTGCAGCCATTCCATCACACAGCGACCCCATCACACAGCCACCCCATCACACAGCCATCTCACTGCACAGTCACCCCATCCAGCAGCTGGGTGCTGTTGGCTCTCACTGCAGCATCACCTCCGTGGCACCAAAGCAGTGCATTGCAGCAGCCACCAGCACACGGGATGGCTGCATCCCAGCATCGTGCAGGGAGCCTTTTTGAAGGGCAGTGCCCGCGTTAGTGCTTCAGATACCATTGCCGAGGCCAACAGCTCACCGAGTAGCACTTCCTACATTATGAATAAACCCTGTGTTTTACCCCCCTCCCCCGGCACACACACCTGGGATCATTATGTACCCATTATGTGTTTGCAAATGCCAGCCTTACATTAACACTTTGCTGACAGTTCTTTCTGTTCCCTTTGAAGCCACTTGCGAAAACATCCCACTGAACACACCATGTGTTAACTGCCCATTCACAAACCCACCCCTTGCCATAACGAAACCACACAGAGCCCAGCACCATCCCAAGCCCAGGTGGCTGCCAGTGGACTTACCTGCTGTATGCCAGGGGGAGGAAGAAGCCACACAGCCCCACGCCAACACCAGGGAGAGGAGGGAGATGGGCTGCAAAGCCATTGCCAGCACTGGAGGAGCTCTTTGGTGCAGCGCCGTGGTGGTGAAAGGCTTCTATCACTGCAGTGGGGCCGTGGAATTCCCTCTGCAGGACGCACACAGATGACAATCGCCTTTTACTTGTTTACTGATTCATCATTTCCCAGAGGGGTTTTTTCTGAATTATTATTATTATTTTTTTTCCTCTTCCCTGATGAGTGTAATTCTGGGGATGACAACACATGGTTGAGATTTTGGCTTTGTTTGAAATTGTTTCTGGCTCGCTAAGAGCATTCCACAAATGAAAGTCAATCAGCAGTCGGCAGGCTGTGCACGGCACGGCTCTGGGGAAGGAGCTGGGGGACAGCACACAGCTCTCAACAGCACCTCCGTGTAGAGACATTCCCATTAGAAACCCCCAAACCAGAACACCCTTCTCCAACACACAGACATCACTCAGCCCCTCTGAACCGGGCTGCTCTGAAAGTAATGCCTCCTATTTTGTGACATCAGCCCACAACGTCAGAGGCGGATGTTGGTGGGATTGCAGCAAAGGATGAACCTCCACACATGGAAAAAACCAACACCCATTGATATTCCTCATCACCTGATGAATGTTTATGGCACCCCACCAATCGGTGGATGTGGCACAGTGAGAGGTGCATGGTACATTCCAGCAGTACCACAGTGACTATGGGACTATGACCTCTGCTTGTGCAGGTGCTTATAAGTGCAGCATACAGCTCTTCTTCATCACTGACAAAAACACCTAACTAATAGCAGCGGCTATTTAGGTTATTAAGGTATTAAGTTAATAAGGAGTGGTTTGTCGCTGACAACGTGCTCTACCAAACAGTGTTATTGTGCTCTTTGTGTCTGTTGCTGTTTCCATGGAAATAAATAGAAGGCATTACTACTGGGGAGACTTACATGTATCTCTTTAACTTTTACATACAGGTACAAGCGTAGGAACAGATTAGCTAGAAGTAGAGATGCACACGAGCAAAGCACAGAGCACGCAGCACAGCCAACAGCTGTTTAGGCTGCAGTCCACGTCCCCCTTTTTGATGGCAGCCCTGGGGCAGCCCTTGGCCATGCCCACTCCTCACCCCCAGCCACTGCCCATATCTGGGGGTCTGAGCTTGGGAAATCCCAGCCAACCCCAACTCCATCCCACAGAACACAGAGAAGAGGATCAGGGCGCTGGAGGAGAAGAGGGAGGGAGCTTGAATTAAGCAGAAATCTTAACTGGGAACACATGGCAGCAGTCAAAAATACACAGCAGTTTCATCAGCTAATTTTCAACTCAAACAAACACCAAACCCTCCCAAGTGCTCCACACGCCTGTAAACAGTGCTGGTCATGTTTCTGTTTTACTCTGAAACAACAGAGAACGAGCTCCTGCCAGAAGAAATGACTGGAATTAGCTTGTAGGATACCAAATAGGTGAGCTTGTACCCTTGCCAACCCTACCATGGGATGTAGGCGTCAGCCTCTGCCTCTGAAAGCTCTCACAATTCAGCACAAAGGTGCTACGGTAATGAGAGCTGGCTTCAGAGCTGGGAAGACAGCAGACATAGCTCATTTCTGATGGATTGCAGCATCCAAAGCACTGAGCATGAGTCCAAGTGGAGGAAGATTTTCTTTTTGGTTTCCAATGGTGCTTAATTCAAACGCATCCACACTTTTTCACAAGGCAAAGAAAAACAGATGGGTTGCACAGAAAGATTTCATACAAGGGAAGTGCTCTTACCTGGATCTCTGCCTCTGAACGCTGAGCTCCTTGCAGCCCCGAGGCTGCTCTGCTCAGAACTTTGCATTTCTTGCAGCAGTGGAGGTTTTTAAAGAGCTCAGTCTGTTCACTTCAGGGATCAGATATCACTTTGCAGTGTCATAGCATTTCCCACGCAGTCAGGGGCCTTATTAAGCCAGCAGCTGGCAGGACACTGCTATGATTTATGAAGTGTAGGTGCTAACTGAACTCGGTAGGTCAGAAGTACGTTTCAAATATCTTAGTGACTCATTAAAACAAAAAACAAACTGCACAGTGTTTTTTATACAGTACAGCCTGTCCCCAGCGCCTACAAGCATCATCCCCAGGCAGAGCACATGTGGTCCAACTGCCATCCTGCAAGGGCAGCCCTGAATCATTCAGGTTGGAAAAGACTGCTGAGATCCTCCAAGTTCAACCCCAGCCCACCCCACCATGGTCATGACCACATCCCTCAGTGCCACATCCCATGGTTCTGGAGAACCTCCAAGGATGGTGACCCCACCATCCTCTGAGCAGCTGTTCCAGTGCAGCACCACTCCTACATCTCAGCCCCTCTTGCACCTCACCAAAGGTGCAGCCCTGCACATCTTTACAAGGAACAGCTACCACCACCACCCTTGATTTGCCCCTTGTAAAAGCTCTGCTGCCAAATACACGTTGCTGTCCTCTTGGAGGAAAAAAAACAGAAGTCTTATGATTCCTGGTGCTGTGCTGAGGGATCAACCCAGGTCACGGCAAGTAATAAGTGGGTGGTTCAGCTCCCTTCCTGGTGGGACAAGAAATGGTGTTTCAAATGCAGAGCTGCCCTGACAAGCCCTGGGCCAGAGCACACATCTTTCTGCAGCAAATTTAGAAATATTGAGAAATGATGAAATCATCCTAAGGAAAAGGAGCAACAGCACCAGGAACAGGAGGAGCGATTCTTGGTAGGAAAACAACCCTCAAAACACTTGTGCAGGGCTGATGGTATCACTGTTGGAATTGCTGCCCAGCTGGGAATGTTCCAAAGCAGCAAAGATAGGATCCCCCCCATTCTGCAGTGAGCACACACATCAAGATGCCTGGTCCTGAACTGGGAAATGGCCCCAAAGACTATGAGGTCTTGCTCAAGGTTGGCCACCTGCTGAATGACACCTTTTCTTCTTTCTGACGCAACGAAAAGCAGCAGTGGGTGGTACAACCCCTTTGATATTGTAGGGAGGAGATGGGAGCTTTGGGGAGGTTTCCCTCTCATTGCAGTCACACAACTCTAGATGTTTCCTTCTCAGTTCCTACAAAGTGAGGGGAAAAAAAGCCTCCTTCCTGCTGGTAAATGCACGGTCTTGCTTTCAGTTATGCAACGTTAGAATTTAACACTGATGCGTTTTCATTGTGTAAGCTATTTTAGCAGAAAAGGTCACACCGGACTGATCATTTGAAACAGATGAGAAGTATTCACCAGCAGGGAGAATGCCAGTTCCCAAAATGCCAGAACTGGGTCAGTTCCTGAGAAAATTAGGTTGGAAAAAAGCAATAGCAGAGGCTCCGACACAGCCGCTGGCTTGGCCCCAGCTCAGCAGTGCTGGAGCACGCAGGGAGGAGCAGCAGCGCTGAAAGGCATCTGCACAAACCTGCTGCTCAAATTGGCCCCCTCTGCAACTTCAGGACGTTTCTCTTTTCCTTTGTGCACTGTGGCACTGATAAACTTGTCCTCTTTGCAGCAATGCAGAGCCAAGGTGCTGCCTGCACAGTGTGAGGTGGCCCAGCATTTATCTGTAGCTCTATGGGCAGAGAGCTCAGCATGCTCCCATCCAAATGAAGCAATGCACTGGGAAAGAGCATATATAAAGTGATATATATATATATATAAGTGATGCTCAATGTAATTGCTTGCCAGCCACCACCCAATGCCCAGCAGTTTCTGGCTTCATGGTTTCTCAGTGATGCCATACGACATGGGATGCTCCTTTGGGCAGCTTGGGCCAGCCACCCTGGCTCTGTGCCCCCTCCCTAGCAGGGCAGTGGGAGATGCTGAAAACCCGAAATATCCTGGGCTCTGCACAGCATTGCTCACCAACAACCACCACATCAGTGCAATGATGACATGGCTTTCATCCCAAAGCCAAAACATGGCATCACAGCAGATGCTGTGGCACCAGGATGCTCACCAGCAGCCCTGCACGTGTGTTCTGTACAAACCCATTTTTGTTTGAGGAAATAAAGGAAGACCTCTCATTGCAAACAGCAAGGCAGTCAGCAAAGATCTCATTGCTGGAGACAAGGCAGATAAATGGGCCAAGTGCTTAAGTGCTTTCTGGTTGAAACATATGATGCAGTCTCATCCCTGTTGTGCCAAATTGGGCTTGTCAGACAATCCTCTGCCTCCCTGTGTTAAAGCACTGGGATCTGATCGCTCAGAATAAAAGCTTTCAAGTTTTCAATACAGATCCACATTAATAAGTCGCTTCCTATGGCATGAAATAAAAAATAAAAGGCTCCAGCGATGAGCAGAACGTTTGGGTATCGAACAGCGCGTCTCATCTGATTGAAAGCAATGGTTCTGCAATTGCCAGTGGGAAGGAAAATCAATGACTTATAAAAGCCTCTTAATTGCCTCATGCTTCAGGGAGGCGAGTTGCACAACTTGCTTTAGTAGAGCTCTTTCCAGGGTGCCAGAATAAGAGGATCAGCGATGCAAAGCAGACCTGTCACCTCCAGGAAAGCAATGGGAATTGCACAGAGCGGGGCACAGGGGAGACGTGCTGGGATAGAGGAGCACGAGGCTGGATGTTGCAAAAAAGGTCTCTCCTTTGCACAGATTAACAAACTCTTGTGGCTTCCACAGGACTGCGGGAAGTAAGAAAAGGAGCTCTCCAGCAGCATCCACTGTCAATATTTACCCTTGTGCTGAGTGCAGGCCTGTTTTCCTTGTCTGTCTGCTGATGGCTTCTGACTGGGACTATCCCTGCCTTGGATATCTTGAGGAAGGAGTGGCAGCTGTTTGCGCGTATCTGTGTTATACAGCCCAGGGTCTGGCACAGCTGGGGGCTGTGATTTTTGCAGAGCAGAGAGAAGAGCACAGGTGGCTGCGGGATGGAAGGGGACTGGGAGTGCAGCCCAGCATGACAGAGCTCTGCCTGCCTGCGGACACACCGGGGAGTGAGGAGAAGCACTGAGATAGAGAGCTGGCAGAGCAACACGTAGAAACGGGCCGATGGCAAAGATAGCCAGGGAGAAAGGAGAGATGAAACAAAATACAAAAGAAATAACAAATTCATTTTGGAACTGGAAGGCTCTGTCATATCTCTCAGCAGGAGATGAGGGGACAAGGCTGCAGCTGGGCAATAGGTGTGTGGAGGAAACTAAGCAGGGCTCATCAAGAGGTACCTTAGGAAAGCCCAAAGCCTTCCAGCCTTACAGCTGTGACTGTAGCTCACCTGGAGGTCCCTTCAGGTGCAAGGAGTCTGCCTGCAATCTGTGCACAGTGCTGATGGAGCTGAACCCAGTCTGAGCTGCACTTCCTGACCCCAGCACAGCATGCTCCCTGTGGTGGCTGCCTTGAAGAAGGCTTAGCCCAGTGCCAGGACCCTCCAACGATAAATATTCAGAAAACACAATCTCAGACACCCAGCAAAGCTCCTCTTGCCTCTGGGCCAGCTCTCTGCAGCCACCCTGGAAGACATTTATAGGCCAGGAGGGGTTATGAGCTTTCCCTGCTTGAATTCTTGTTTATCCAGTATAAACAGTATATGATCCAGTTACTTGAGTTACTTGCTTCTTTTAAACTAGACAATAAAAGACCCCCCAGCCTGGTGTTAAGGAGCAGCAGCTTTTCAACATGGGGCTACAGTTTGCTGTCCGTGAGGTGGGATCAGCCAACCTGGTTCCCAGGGCAAACCAATACTCTCTATAGAAGCCTCTCTCCACTAGTTGGGAGCAGCACACACGATAATCAGCAGCCAGACTTCCAAGAGCATTCTATTGTTAATTACTGGGGGAATCATCCCATCCTGCCCCATACTCAGGACCAATTTAGCCCAAGGATGGCTGAGCCCACACTCAGCCCATTGTATGTACAATGGCTGCCCGGTGTCACACTGTATCCCCACTCCCCTCCTGCTTAATATTTCCCCATCAGTGTTCAACGTCAGAAGCAGATTTGCATATTTTGTTCTTTCTAGCTCAACGCACCAGACTTCCCAAGACAGCACTAATTAGTTCCAGTCTTGCTCTTGGGTTGCTTGAGAATTATATAAACTTTAAAAGGAGTCGTTACGAAAGCACAGCCCTCTCAGCCTCCCCACACCACCACTGTGCAGTGGGAGCTATATGGACAGGACTCAGCTATTACTGCCCTAACCTTGCAAGGTCCCACCAGTATCACAGCTTGGCTTTTCATCCCCTAGCTCTGCATCCCTGGGGATACAGATCTGCCCTTGGGAGAGGTGGTTTTCCTGCATCTGTGAGGCTTTTGGAGGGAGCAGAGTGCTGATCTGCTATCTGTGTCTCTTCGTATCCCAAATAGTGACCAGAGATGCCATTGCCACCAGCAGCCCGAATCTCTGCACCTCACACATGGGTGTCAGAACACGCTTTGCTGAGTATTTCAACATAGGCAGAAGTTTGGCCCAGTGCAAAACATACAAAACATACAAAACATACAAAAACAGTTCTTTACATAATAAGGATAATAAAGAAAGCACCAAAAAATTGCTGGATGGATCTGCCCTCTGCAGATGTCAATAAATTGGCACTCACCTCCCTGCACCCAAAAGAGCAAGCATTAATCCAGAAAATCTACTTGTCCAAGAACAGAAACCTCAGCAGTGTCAGCTGACAGCACTCCTAGTGAGCACCTTCAATTAGGACAAGCCTAGATACTGTTAATTATATTAAAAGCTATTTGAAGATTCCCATATAATGAGAGCATCCTTATGTTGGGAATGAGCGCAGGAAGGAGTCGGGAATAGCTCACAGGGGATGGGATGCTTCCAGCAGCAGTGGTGTAAATACCAAAAGGTATAATTGTGCCCATCTTCAACCCACGATGCCAGCACCACCTTCAGCTCCCTGAGCAGCCAAAGTTATTTCAAGAACACAAACATTGTTTCCACTAAAAAAAGTGAGAAGTATGTGGAAACTTTTCCAAACAATTCATACAGGAGCACCGGCAAACACAAATCATTAATCTGTTCTACATCTGCAAAGGCATGTGGAGTTTCAACAGAGCACAACAGCACAGAAAAGCAGACACCCCTCTCCCACTCCCATTAGCTTAATGGCAGCTGAGTGATATTTAGTGCCGATCACAGCTTACCGCAGCAGCTCTGGATTTTCCTCTGAGCCAGGTAACGCGTAAGGAGAAGGTATTTACCAGCTGTAAAAAAAGAAAACCGGAGCAGGAAAATGAAAGGAAAAGCTTCGCGTATGTTCCTGGTTCTAGAGAGAGAGTTTCAAGCAGTCGCATCCAAGCAGCCTGCCTGGGAGCGTTCTGTGCATAGGATGCACATGAAGAAAAAGGAAGAGGAAGAAACACCACTTGCTCACTGCCCACTGCAGAAATCTGGCTCGACATCCCCTCCCAGACAGCAAAACAAGTACATTGCACACGTGGGATATAGTGAACAGCCCCACACCAGCAGCGGAGGGATTTTCCTGCCACGAGCTGGATGGATTCTGCTGGGAGAATGCTGCTTTGTGCAAACGGAAGGGTTTTGTGGAAACCCACTGGTTCCAGCTAATTCGCTGGTGTTGTTCTGCTTGGCTGCAGGCCAGCTGCTAGCAGCACAGGGACAGCATCACAGAGCAACACGCTATGGGACCTGTGACAAGCACAGGGCTGGAGCCTGGCTGGGAAAATCCTTGACCACCCTGCTGGTCGCAGGGGTCAGAGACCTCCCAGCTCCTGTCACACGTGGCTGCTGCAGCTCTGCATGTCTTGCACTATGGCTCTGCAGCCCAGGATGGGGCGGGTGAAGCTGCAAGGGTTGATGATCGCTGCACAGCTTCATTTGTGGGAAGATTAAAAAAAAGGAAAAAAACAAACAAAAAAAACCACGAAAATGACCCACTTTGCCTTTTTATTCAATGGGAAATTTTGGATTTCATTTCCCCTTGGGGCCTTTTAAACACTGTAAGGCTCCTACTCACCACGGGATATATCCTCTGCATTATTTCCCATGAAATAGCTTTTGTCTAAGGTCATAAAATCATTCAGCTTGGAAAAGACCTCTCAGATCCCCAAATCCAGCTAACCCCACCATGCCCATCACCACATCCCCTCAGTGCCGCATCCTCACTGCTCTGAAACACCTCCAAAGGATGGTGACCCCACCACCCCCCGGCCAACACATCACTACTCTGATCAGAACCTGGTCACGTGGCAGCTGCTCTCAGACAGAAACCCAAAGAAGAAAAACAAATTGCCCCAAGTGACTGTAGGTAGAAGCAGCACTGGTGGGATGAAGCTGATCCACCCTCTGAGAGGTCAGCCCACGTCTGTCAGTTCAGCTGAAAATCACAGCTCTGAACGAGGCATTGCTGGTAGGGCCAGCAATGGTGGGGATGGGTTGGTGGTTGGACCAGAGGATCGTGGTGGTCTTTTCCAACCTTACTGATTTGACGACTGCTCCCAGCAAGGAGCAGATTCACCTGGTTGTTTTCCCCCAGCATGGACTGGGATGTTCTGGTTGTTGGTCAGGGAAACAAGGAAGAGTAAGTTAAATTTCATAGGTACAGTTGGGCTTGTGGATGCTCTTATACAGGTTGGTTCCACACACTAGATAACAGCAAAGGCAGAGGAGCAGTAACTGTCTCCTGTAACCCTGCTGACTGTGGCCAGAGGTGGCCCTGGGAAC